GCAGGAAGTGCAGCATGGAGGTAGGGAGTGCAGCATGGAGGTAGGGAGTGCAGCAGGAGGCAGGGGGTGCAGCATGGAGGCAGGGAGTGCAGCATGGAGGCAGGGAGTGCAGCATGGAGGCAGGGAGTGCAGCATGGAGGCAGGGAGTGCAGTAGGGAGTGTAGCAGACAGGCAGGGAATTGTAGCAGGCAAGCAGGGAGTGCAACATGGAGGCAGGGAGTGCAGCATGGAGGCAGGGAGTGCAGCATGGAGGCAGGGAGTGCAGCATGGGGGGCAGGGAGTGCAGCAGGCAGGCAGGGAGTGTAGGGAGACCCGGCAGGGAGATGTAGCAGACAGGCAGGGAATTGTAGCAGGCAAGCAGGGAGTGTAGCAGGCATGCAGGAAGTGCAGCATGGAGGCAGGGAGTGGCATGGAGGCAGGGAGTGCAGCATGGAGGCAGGGAGTGCAGCTGGAGGCAGGGAGTGCAGCATGGAGGCAGGGAGTGCAGCATGGAGGCAGGGAGTGCAGCATGGAGGCAGGGAGTGCAGCATGGAGGCAGGGAGTGCAGCATGGAGGCAGGGAGTGCGCATGGAGGTAGGGAGTGCAGCATGGAGGTTTGGGAGTGCAGCATGGAGGTAGGGAGTGCAGCATGGAGGCAGAGAGTGCAGCATGGAGGCAGGGAGTGCAGCATGGAGGCAGGGAGTGTAGCAGGCAGGCAGGGAGTGTAGCAGGCAGGCAGGGAGTGTAGCAGACAGGCAGGGAGTGTAGCAGACAGGCAGGGAGTGTAGCAGACAGGCAGGGAATTGTAGCAGGCATGCAGGGAGTGTAGCAGGCAAGCAGGAAGTGCAGCATGGAGGTAGGGAGTGCAGCATGGAGGCAGGGAGTGCAGCATGGAGGCAGGGAGTGCAGCATGGAGGCAGGGAGTGCAGCATGGAGGCAGGGAGTGCAGCAGGGAGTGTAGCAGACAGGCAGGGAATTGTAGCAGGCAAGCAGGGAGTGCAACATGGAGGCAGGGAGTGCAGCATGGAGGCAGGGAGTGCAGCATGGAGGCAGGGAGTGCAGCATGGAGGCAGGGAGTGCAGCATGGAGGCAGGGAGTGCAGCATGGAGGCAGGGAGTGCAGCATGGAGGCAGGGAGTGTAGCAGGCAGGCAGGGAGTGTAGCAGGGAAACAGGGAGTGTGGGAGGCAGGGAGTGTAGCTTGGAGGGAGGGAGTGTAGCAGGGAGTGTAGCAGGCATGCAGGGAGTGTAGCAGGCATGCAGGGAGTGTAGCAGGCAGGGAGGGAGTGTAGCAGGCAGGGAGGGAGTGTAGCAGGCAGGGAGGGAAGTAACCCCAGAAAGGGCTTTGATACCTGAAATCCTTATTGAAGGGGATTCTCCTTCCAAACAATAATCAGTCCCTCTTTCCATAAGCCAACAAGAGTCTTCAATAAAGGTATGTAATAGTGATTTAAATGTTTATTTATTTTATTTAGTTCTCATTGTTTTGTGTATGTAAAACTATAATTAATCTTTAAAAAATATATTTTTTGTGAATATTTTTGGGTGTCTAGAATGGATTAATTGTATTTACATTAATTCTTATGGGAAATATTGCTTCGAATTTAGGCCATTACGAATTTAGGCCGACCTGGAACGGATTACAGACAAAAAACGAGGTTCCACTGTATTTTCATGTTAGAATCCAGCAAGTACTCTAGATTTTTACTTCTTAATTTTGTATTATTGTGAACTTCAATTATGTAGACTCAGTAAAGACATTGTACAATTTTACTCTTCCATAGTGTTGGGGCATGTCAAATACAGTATAAATAATTATTATAATCACAAAAAAAGCACTAAACCATATAGGTCATTCAGTGCTGCATTATAAGTAGGGTAGAGAAATGAAGGGCTAGTATAAATTTGAAAGGGGGAGTTACAATTGATCCTGTAGGTTAGGTAAGTTCAGTAAAAAAAAAAAAAATTAGATTGGTGTTTTAGTATGGACTTTTAACAGCCTTAGCAGAACCCATAGATTCTCTAGTCTTAATTCTAATGACCTCTTTGTGATACAGTTGCAGCTTGTGCATATTTTTCCCATTTTGCTTGTTGAGTTTTACCAAGTAAATTTTGAACTGCAGCATTGTCTTGCCTTCAACACCATTGGTGGATAGACTTAGGTTTATCACTCGGAGAGATAAATTTCCTGTTGTTCAGCACTGTAGTTTGGTGAGCCTAAAGTTGTTGCCCCTCATATGTGTCATAGACTTCCTGAAGTGGTTGGGTTTTACAATATCTGACTTCTTTACTATCTTAAGTGTGTCTGAGATGCTGGTCTTATAGCCCCTGTTTGAAAGGCTGTCAGTCATGTTCTATTAAGTGAGCTGACTAATTACTTCATTGATTTTTAGTTCTGTGGTGAAGGCTTAGTGTGCAGTATTTGTAAGATGACTAGTTTTCTTGTGTACTTAACATGTGTTTACTATTTGAAGATATTTCCCCTAACACCTGATGCCTCTATTTACTGTCTAGCAGTAAATACACATGACTTGATGAATCATATCATAAATGCCAATGAAATTAAGCCATATTGCTTGGATTTATGAGTTATCCTGGGATATTAACCTTTGGATTAATGATGCAAATAGTTTTCTCCTTCATGATGTGTATTGCTATATCATATGTGGTAGTCTTTTCTTTTCTCTATTAAATAGCATTTTTTAGTCTGTTGATCATTTGTGGAATTGTAGAGGTTATTGAGTATGGACGCACTGTACTGTAATGCTCTCTCCATAGACACAACAGTTAAGCATAATTATGATAAAATTATGTACCAGATGTGGTAAACATCTTTAATATACCAAATATTTGATGCCTCTGATTGCCATGTTCATTCCTAGAGTTTATATTTTGGCTTGAACAAGAGAATAGATGTGAAAAGATTGCCTATTTGAAACAATGTAAAATAAACTATGTCAGTGACAAAATCAAGGTTTGAGTTATCACATTTGAAATTCTGCTGTAAGTGAAAATGTTACAATTTTTAGGGAAGGATTGGCAATGCATTCGATTCACCATTGCACATGGGTTTCAAACTTTCCTACTCCAGCAGCCTTGCTCTGGGCCAAGCTTGCCTAGTCAACCAGGCTGTTGCATCTAGTAGCTCACTGTTCCACATATCCATCACAGCCTGGTTGATACAGCATTTGGCAGAGGAAATTGTCAAAATTTTTCTTAAGCTTCTAAAATTGTTCTGGCAGTGTTTCTGATATCTTCTAGGAAGATGTTAAAAGTCTGACACCACAGATGCTGATGCAGTGTCTTAAAGTACCTACGACACCTTTACCTTTCACTGCTTTTATTCTATACATTCTTCCATATCTTTCACTCCTGTGTGTTGGTATGGCAGTATCTCAGATTTAGGACCAGGCCCTTAAGCATCTTCCACATACATATTATACATCTCTCTCCCCCACTCCAGCAAGTACATATTTAGGACTTTCAGATGTTTCCAGTAATTTAACTGATTTATTGGCTTCATGCAGACCTTAAATCATCTTTGCATCTGTTCTAGCTCTTGATATTTTTCCTACCCTGAATGAAGTTGTCATTCCTATACAGTATTCTAAACAAGAGAACACGAGAAATTTAAAGTGTTAACAGTGGCACTATTTCCCTTATTTTGAAAGTTTTTGTTGTCTACTACAGTCATTTTCCTTGCTGTCATGACATTTGCACTATTTTCCTTGAAAAGATCAGCTGACATTATTACTGCCAGGTCCTTTACATGTTCCTTCCATTCTATTTGGTAATCCTCTTGCATTTTGTACAGTGTGTCCCTTTTTGAGCTCTTCATTGTTTCCATACTTAAGCAGGTTGAAGTCCCTTGACCTGTACTCCTTGGAACACAGGCAAGAAAGATACATCATAATATACACTTGGAAAATCTTAAGAGGGACTAGTCCCAAATCTGCACACAAAAATCACTCCCTACAAAAGCAAAGAACTCGGCAGGCAGTGCAACATTCCCCCAGTGAAAAGCAGGGGCACCATGAGTACGCTAAGAAACAACACAGTAAATGACAGGGGTCCCAAAATGTTCAATTGCCTCCCAGCATACATTAGGGGGATTACTTACCAAGAGACCCCTTGCTGTCTTCAAGAAAGGGCACCTAAAGTCAATTCCTGACAAACTGGGCTGTGGTTTGTATGTCAGTTTGAGCGTGGCCAGCAGTAACAGCCTGGTTGATCAGGCCCTGATCCACTGTGAGGCCTGGTCATGGACCGGACTGCGAGACGTTGACCCCTGAAACACCCTCCAGGTATAGGTGGAAGTTATCACCATTGAGCACCACGTTGTTCTCCACTATCCACTGAACGATTCTGCTTGTCTTCCTGTAATCTTTTTGTCTTCTACAACAGTTATTATCATGCTTATTTTAATATCCTCTGCAAATGAAGACATGAAACTGTAGCAAGTATTTCTTATCTATGTTGGCTATAAGGATAAGAAACTGTAGAGGTCCCAGGCCTGTGCCATAGGGTATTGAGTTTTTTTAAATTTGATAATACTGGATTTTGCTGTTTACTACCACTCTTTGGTGTTCTATGTCACCCTCATTTTGTGTACAATCACCCAGTAATTACATTTGCCAAATGTTTTTGCAAAATCCGTGAGCAGCACATCTGAGTTTTGATTTTCTTTCAGCGCCTCAGTAACTCTGTCATAGTGATAGGTATGATGAGCATGATCTAAATCCATGCTGGTTTGGATTGTGCAGGCTTTGCCATTTCATAAAATTTGTAATTTGGCATCTTGTCACCCTTTCAAAGATTTTGTATGATGTTGAGGCTAGTCTGTAATTTTTGGCTAGTGCTCCTGCCTCCTTTATGCAAAAAAAGCTATATCTGCACTTTTTAAGGTCTCTGGAAATCTGGAAATTCACTTAGATCTACAATAAGCTTTCTCCAAAGGATACCAAGTTCTTATGCTAGTGTTATTTTGACTTCTTTACAAATAAGGAATCACAAATTTAGGCCATAATTATAATAATTTATTTTCCAACAAGATACATTGTGTTACAAAGATTTTTTGCATGGAAAAGCCCATAGTTATGCAAAATATTTCAGGCATATTGTATTTGGTAGCTATCTTAAAAATTAAAAATGTAAATTCTTTTAATGTTATATAACTCCTTAATCCAGGCACTGCCAACAGCTTTCTCTTAATCAAAGCATTATGGGTTAATGTTGAATCTCAATAATTCTGGTCCTTATAATATCAGATTATGTTGTCAACAGGGTAGTCCATCCCTTGAAAAGAAAATAGACCACAGTAAACTATAGAGTTAACGGACTTTGGAAATGTGGAACAAAATCCACTGTATCTATTGATTCAGAAGGAATGAGCAAAGCCTGGTGGTTACAAAATTGTCTGTTATTCTTGTGAGCACGGCAAAACATTATGATCTTTACCCACCACACTTGCCATCACCAGTCATCTGCTCTTCCCTATTAGCCCATTAAATCAAGGGTTTACTGTAATCATGTTCTTTGAAGTTACATTTTCTAATATTTTACAGTGCCATAGAGTTTGCATAGCAAAATGCAAAGCTACTAAAGCTTGCAACAATTTAGCACTATACTTTAAACCACTTTGTAGTCCTACTTACAGTAGGCATCTTAAAGTTGCAAATGATTACCCAAATTCAGATGCTAACATCAAATACCTTACAAAGATTGAATTCCCTGTCTTAAGTATTGCTGTGTGGAATCCTCCTCATTGTTAAAAGTGAATGAGGTTAAAAGATACATTACTATTTAATACATACAATCAAATAAAGAAGGATATCCACTTAATTATCACCTATTACACAGCTAGTGATGCTTGCGCTCGGCTATGCGAGCTTCAACACACACACGTGGCTCCTTGAAAAAAAGAAAAAAACATCTGTATCAACTTTCCATAATCATAACATTTTATTAAATGTAGGGTAGGGTATGCATAATCTTTCACAATAATTTTGGATACTAATTTTTTTTTTTACCATTCAAGTCTCAACTACACTGCTCAAAATATTTTAAAAATAATTTTACATGCTTTTATGACCAATGTGTTATAGTAGTAAATACTTGCTTAAGTTCAACAATCTAAATAAATAAAATTTTCTTCAGTATGTACATAATAGGAGCATTACTATGAGTATATGTACTAATATTCTGCCTCAGTCCAAGTAGATTTGTCTTTTAATTCAACCAAATGATATTTCCTGATGATATATCGAGGAAACAAACATAATTTGTGTTACCGTATAATGTGGGAATGGAAAAAGAAATTCAAAGTATGAAGAATATTAAGTAGAAGTGGAAAGCACGCTTCTCTGAAGGAGAGTACACTGTATAAAGTTGAAATATTTATGCAACCAACAAATTAGCAAGTGTATGACTATGGGCAAAGAGAGCTATCCACGAGAGAACTTCTAACCAGGAAGTGTTCTCATAGCTGACTGTAATGCCAACCCATTTACTATCTACAGAGGCTTTTCATATTCCATAAAAAGATATATTTGGATTGTATGAAACTGGAGCACTTTATAAAATACTTAACATGCAAATTACATGTTCTTGAAAATGGTAGCTAATTTATACAGTACTAAGATTTCAATTAACTCAAGAGAACTACTTTAGAAAAATACATTCAACAATCATATAAATTTGATATTGTAATAATGTTGGTAGAATTACCGACAATATGTAAAGTAAAAGGACACAAGTGCAACTAATATGGCATTTTTATTGTGGCAACGTTCACTCTCCAGGAGCTTTATCAAGCTGTTACAGTGTCCATGTACTGTTTTTAACGGCTCGATAAAGCTCCTGGAGAGCGAAACGTTGCCACAATAAAAATGTCACTTTAGTTGCACTTGTGTCCTTTTACTTTACAAATCTGATATTCATATTTTCTCATTAGTGTTTTGTTACCAATTTCCTAAGTTTTGTTTGACAATGTAAGCAAAATTGTATGATGACTAAGAATAAGAAAATTATAGTCAGTGGGTAAGTGTATCTTTAATATTCAGGAAAAAGTTCAAAGAATTAATACCAAAATCATGCTACTCTTTATACAATTACCATAACTTATATGTGTATTTTGTTATATTTGAGAAGCAATAATTTATTATTAATTTTACTTTAAACAGATAGGCTATTTACATATATGAAAATGGAAAATAAAAATATGTGAAGATAATGTATGCATATAATGTTTGATGCAAGACAGCCTTGAAATGTTTGTTTTGCATAGAAAGTGAAATTCAGTTCACAGGTAGGCTTATCTATGTTGCATGCTGGGAACTGGATCTTGTACCACGAGACAAACATCAACCCATATCTACAGCTCCACCGAAAATGTCCATAAGAACTGGCATGATGAGCAAACTTATTTTTATTTCTTTGCATTTATAATGTATTAACCTTTGTATCTACATAATATATCACACTAAAGTTGACAAAAGGATCAACTTTGAGTTAGCAAAATAAATATAAATGATCAGCAGCAACATGCAGTTTAATAGAACATATTATGTGGTCTGCAGCTGGTGAAACACTTAATTTCATCTAAATAGGCTAGTCAGAAAAATCACAGAATAATTAAAGAGAATACAGTGCTTGTCTTAAACTCTCACTGTATTTAACATTAAGTAAAACAGTGTACTTACATATCACTGAGTTAGTATTGTATTTATAAACTAGCACAACATTAAAAATGCAATCTTTAAAGACAGTAATAAGAAATTATTCATCTTGAACACCTTGGAAAGAAATGTTTCATCAGGTGAGTAGCCCTTGACATGATATAACAAGTCTAAAGTCCCAACCCTGACTCTCATGACAATACTATTGTGACATCTTTGCACTATTTCATAACAGCCCTGCTGTTACAGTTGAAAGTAATCTACTAACACCCTTCAAGCGAGTGCTTTAATGCTGGTGAAGGGTTCTGGGTCCATGGAATTATAACTACCCTCCCCTTCCATGGATCAGACCTGATTGCCTCTCCTTCCCCAGACGCTCTATATATATTATCACCATGACAAACATGACATCATAGCCAGGCACCAATGACATAACTGTATTGACCTTGCATATATTGAGAGTAGCTGTTTAGTGATCAGTATTTTCTTATGCACAAAATACACTTATTTGCTATATAATTTCCAGCTTGAGTCATAGAGGAATGACTTAATTTTTTAAAAATAATATGAAAGACTGAAGGCATATGAACTTTAGCATTTAATCTGTAATTGCATAAGAGAAAATGGTCAGCAAATCAATTGTTTACTCAAGTAATCTAATATCACTCAAGAATCTACATTATGAAAGTATTTGTGCATTTCTTTTAACTAACATATAAATAATTATACGTATATTAAAAGAAAGGTAACAAAAGTGTACAGTACTTTATTTTAATCTGTGCTCTTAGTTTATTGTACGAATTGTCAGCAAATACATACACTAGGTAATCTCTCTCCTCAGAATAGTGTGCACAGGGGCAAGTCATAGAAAATTTTAAATATTTTTATTATAACTTAGACATCTATATATTGTCTGATATAAAAAAATCTGAATTGGCACTTTTCCTAATACGAAGTTGCAATTTTTTAATTTACTAGGAAAATTTTTATTTTTTTTTTTTTTTAAATTTTAAGGTCAAAATTTTTGGAAGGATTATTTTATTGCTTGCCCAAAAAAAAAGAAATTTTTTTTTCCAAATTAAACAAAATAATCTAATTTATTAGAAAACAGAATTTCAGAGGTAATTCAAAATTTTATATTTATAATAAAAAAAAAGCGTTAAACCTACAAGGGTCATACAGCACTGCCGGGCAGGGAAGGATGCAGGGGTATTGGGTAGCAAGAGGGAGAGGGATGATTATTAGGTTCAAATTTTTATAAAACATTCTTTGATTTTGATAGTTCTGAATTAGATTTTCAGAAATGAAATACGGAATTTTTGTTCTTGAGCAAATTTTGTTGTTATTTGCATTTAAAAATTTATTTTCATAGTCTAAAGAATTCTGAAAAACAATTCTGAATAAGAGAGATCACTGCATAAAGATTGTCGTAAGAGTAAATTGTGCACTAACGGCAAAAATCACAGGTCATAAGCTAAGTCAGAAATGTCAAGGATACCATTAACTTCAGTAGTTGACATCTTAGCACCACCTCTTACATGGAAAACTGTGTACAATAGTGTACATCTTGACAATATTTATAGCACTGAAAAATCACTTTTGTTAGTGCATTATAAGTACATGAAGAAATATTATCCAATATGTTGTTGCTTAAATACATTACAGTACAGTATTAAAAACTTTATAAAGAGTATAAACTTAGCGTACAAAATTAAGATACTACCCACCCGTATAAGTTTAAATAGGGTTATACAGTGAATAATAGAAAATGCCATTTAGTAAAAGTTTGCTTATCCTTTGGTTTGGCAGAGAGAGGTCTAGTTACTAGAACACTCTGTGTATATTGTCTCATAAATTTTCACATTTTCCGTAGATTACTAAGCCACTTCACCAGTTGGGATTATTAAGCATCACTTCATTAAAATATCTTTGTTTTAGTAGTTCTAACAAAGCTGTCTACAATAGACTATTGTGTTATTTGATCTGATTCATGTGATACTTCATGCCAATGTTGAATATCCTAAATGAAATGTCTTGACTTTAAGTTTACAGTTGTTTATTATGTCTTTCTCACTGTATTGCCTGTTATAGCAACTGCATCATCTGTTGTCTTGGTTTTACCAACTTCAGTCCTCATTGCACAGCCAGGTCTCCATGTGCACTGTGTTACCAGTCAGCCCATCACATCATCTATCCTCCCCATTGACTTCTAACTCATCTACTGCTGGGAGGAAGGTATCGAGCGACCTCTTCCTGTGAGGGCAGAAGATATAACAAAATTAATTAGTGCATGGTTCGACACAATTTCTGCATTTGTACATTTTAAGGGATTACTACTGCATATTCTGTATAAACAACTTGGCCTCCTTTAAAAAAGTTTTTACAGTCTATAATCAAATTTATTTGTAAATGATTTATTTACATTTGCCAATGAAGGGAATCTTGGTTATCTAATATTTACTGTAATACAATGCCTTCTTTGCATTTAACTAAATGTTACACAAATCCTTGGTTAGGTATTGCTATGTTCTATTAGGATTAATGTAAATTAACCCTTTCAGGGTCTGTCCCGTAGATCTACAGCTTCACATTCAGTGTCCAAACCATAGATCTACGCCAAAATTCTAGCGCCATCAAATTTAGCGCGAAAATGCTCATAGGCCTACATGTGAGAGAACGGGTCTGCGTGGTGGGTGTGCACCAAAAACAAAAAATCTAGGCGCCCGCATAGCATTGTGGGAACGCCGGCTCAGTTACCCTTGCTCACCATGCCTCATCGCAAGGCAGCTCTCACTCCAAGGAAAATTGGGACTCTCCTCTTCCTATCTGATAGTTCTGACACTGATGGAAGTGGAAATGAAGACGAATTCTTTGGCTTTGATCAGTTAGTGACCGAAAGGAATGACCAGGATATCGATAATAGTGCAGAAAACCCTGGCGATCCTCAACCTTCTACCTCTGGTGTGGGCACTCCTCAGTCACGGTCAGTTGTACCTCAATGCAAGAGAAAACTATTATTTTCGTGTGGCCAGGCCTCTGACTTCAGTAATGATGATGATAGTGACGTGGATTGTGATTTTATTGCTCTTGACAATCATTCAAGTAGTGATAGGAAACACATTCACCAGTGAAGCATCGGTATGTACGCCGCCGCATGCGCTCGGGTAGTGTACCCTATGCTGTGCCCAGGGGACGGAGTACATCCCGTGGCCCTACACCAGGAACAGACAGTGAAAGTGAGGATGATGTGGCTACACTTGGCATGGATAGACCACAGGCATCAGTAGATGGCGGTAGTGGTCATGGTAACGCCACGGCCATGCGTGACTCGCCAGCCCAGGCTAGGACCCACACTGCTGACTCCACAGTTAATGAGTGGAACAGTCTTTAGTTGATGAGTGGAACAGTTTTAGTTGAGTGGAACAGTCTTTAGTTGATGAGTGGAACAGTTTTAGTTGATGAGTGAAACAGTCTACCTAGTTGGGTTATTGAGGCTGGGACTTTGGGTAGTTTCAAATTTAGGTTGGATAAGTACATGAGTGGGAGGGGTTGGATTTGAGAGTGACTTGCACATCGGAGCTTGTTTCTTGGGTGGCATTGAAAATTGGGTTGGTCAAATGTTGTTAGTGGGATGAATTGTAAAGGACCTGCCTAGTATGGGCCAACAGGCCTGCTGCAGTGTTCCTCCGTTCTTATGTTCTTAAAGCGGAGCATCAGCCACCAGCCCACCACAACCACAGCTACCTACACAACCAGCCTAAGATGTTCAGTATCCACCAGCAAACCATATCTGGGATTGGCAGCAAAATCCCAATTTTGTTCCCAAGCCCCACCACTTTGTTGACTCTCAAAGTGGAATTCTACCTACTTGTCCCCTTATAACCACGGCCAATGAACTGGAATTTTTTGAAATATTCTTTGACCAGCCCTTGATGGAAATTATTGTCAGGGAAAGTAACAAGTATTTTGAGTACACCCTGGCAAATATGATGATATCACCACAGTCAAGACTACACCGGTGGAAAGAGACGACTGTTGCAGAAATGTATTTGCTTTTTGCAACAATAATGCTTATGCCTCATGTCTATAAGCATACTGGTCCACAGATCAGCTAATTTCTACCCCGGTCTTCAGTGAAATCATCCCAGTGAACAGGTTTATCTTATTGTTACGTATGTTGCACTTCTCTGACAAAACCAGGCCTGACAGAAGTGACAGGTTATACAAGATTAGAAATGTTTTTATGTATCTCAAACAAAAGTTCAGCATGTACTTTTATCCAAGAATCTTGTAACTGACGAGTCTTTGATTTTGTTCAAAGGTAGACTGTCATTCAAGCAGTATATACTGAGCAAGAGGAAATGCTTTGGTATAAAACTGTTTTTACTCTGTGACTGTGACAGTGGCCTGGTATTGGATATTGTTGTATACACGGGAAGTAAAACATTGAAAGATACCAAGATGTTATTGAGAATCGCAGGTGATGTAGTGAGAAGCATGATGGCACCTTATCTTGGTAAGGGGCATGCATTATATACCGATAACTGGTACACAAGCATTTTACTCAGTGATTTCTTGTGAGTGAACAAGACAGATATGTGTGGCACAGTCCGTTCTAATCGTAAACATATGCTCAGGCTCAACGCAGGTGCTCGTGGTGATGACGTGCAGGTGTTTACTGCCAATGACATCATGGCATTACGGTGGCATGACAAACTAGATGTCACATTGTTGACAACCATTCACCCTAACGAAATGCAAGACAGTGGCAAAGTTGATCGAGTGACGAATGAACGTATTCAAAAACCAGTGACAGTGATTGATTATACACAAAACATGCGCTTGGTTGACAAATGTGACATGCAGATTGGCTTTGTTGATTGTGTTCATAAAAGTTACAAGTGGTACATGAAACTTTTCTTCCATCTCGTGGACATTTCAATGCTCAATGCATATAATATGTACCAAATGAAGACTGGCAACAGACCACTGTATGGTGAATTTTGTTTGTCTGTTGTCAGACAACTCATAATGAAGTACCAGGTTACAACAACGTCCTCGAACTCCTCAGGATATACCCAAGCGTTTGAGGAGGGAAGGTGATCATTTCATAATACAGCTTCCTGCAACTAAGAAGAAATTTGCTCAGAAGAGATGCATCGTCTGTGCACAAACAAAACGACGGCAACAAAGACACTCGGTTTGTGTGTGAGGAATGTAAGGTACCTCTGTGCATGGTGCCTTGTTTCAAGGAGTTCCACAAGCTCCAGCAGTTCTAAAACCATGTCCAGTGATTGTAAATATGTAAATATATGATAGAACATTAGTATTATACAAGATTTGTGCATGTTTATTGTAATAAACAAAAGTGGTAAACAATAATATAATAACTTTAGTGTGGTTATTGTGTTCAATACAGTGAATTTATATATACATTATATACAGTATTGGTCTCTCAGGCCCCAAATGTTAGTAGGAAAAGAAAAAACTACAAAAAACGTTTAAAGTAATGCGCGTATGTGGAAATCGTCGATGTTGCCGCCACCATGTCATTTTGGGTAAACTTCTTGGCACTGTATCTCGGTAAGTACTGATCAGAATTTTTTTTTTTTTGTCTTATTACCTTCACAGAAATATACTCTAATTCTGTAAGAAAATTTTTTTCTCCAAAATTTCTTGGACACTGGAGCACCACTTCAGATTTTGGCCTTGGACCCTGAAGGGGTTAACCATGTCTAACTAAATTAAAATAATGTATACAGAGCAAAACAAAAAAAAAAATATGGTGTGCTCAAAATTCTAAGCCTACATTTTGCTTTTTTTGCACACTGTCTAATTAGTTTAATATTAATGTTTCCATTATGAAAAAATGTTGATATAAGCACTAATTATGGTATTTATACTTAAAAAGTTAAGCTTTGAAATTAGCTAAGCTCTATACTGTAATATCAGTTGTCATCAATTTGATATATAATTAAAAGCACGATTTATAAGCATTTTACTAAAAAATTAGATACATACTATTTTTCATGAGACTATTGTACATACTATCTAAGTAAATCTTTTAATTGAATAAAAAAAGAAAAATATGGTGCAGAGCATGACAACAGGAAAACAAAAAAAATATGGAGAAAATCATAATTACGGATTTAAAAGTTGTATATTACTGAGAAACAAATAATAGTTACACCTGAGCTACCATTATATAAAACCCTACTTATAAGTGGACTCTGAAACCTAATGATCAAAATGTAAATTTGCAGTAAACCCTCTTACAATTTCTTTTTTTTTTCTTTGTTATCACACTGGCCGATTCCCACCAAGGCAGGGTGGCCCGAAAAAGAAAAACTTCACCATCATTCACTCCATCACTGTCTTGCCAGAAGGGTGCTTTACACTACAGTTTTTAAACTGCAACATTAACACCCCTCCTTCAGAGTGCAGGCACTGTACTTCCCATCTCCAGGACTCAAGTCCGGCTTGCCGGTTTCCCTGAACCCCTTCATAAATGTTACTTTGCTCACACTCCAATAGCACGTCAAGTATTAAAAACCATTTGTCTCCATTCACTCCTATCAAACACGCTCACGCATGCCTGCTGGAAGTCCAAGCCCCTCGCACACAAAACCTCCTTCCAACCTTTCCTAGGCCGACCCCTACCCCGCCTTCCTTCCACTACAGACTGATACACTCTTGAAGTCACTCTGTTTTGCTCCATTCTCTCTACATGTCCGAACCACCTCAACAACCCTTCCTCAGCCCTCTGGACAACAGTTTTGGTAATCCCGCACCTCCTCCTAACTTCCAAACTACGAAATCTCTGCATTATATTCACACCACACATTGCCCTCAGACATGACATCTCCACTGCCTCCAGCCTTCTCCTCGCTGCAACATTCATCGCCCATGCTTCACACCCATATAAGAGCGTTGGTAAAACTATACTCTCATACATCCCCCTCTTTGCCTCCAAGGACAAAGTTCTTTGTCTCCACAGACTCCTAAGTGCACCACTCACCCTTTTCCCCTCATCAATTCTATGATTCACCTCATCTTTCATAGACCCATCCGCTGACACGTCAACTCCCAAATATCTGAATACATTCACCTTTGGAGTGAGATTAACAAGTTAAGAAAGCCTAGAGAACAAATGGATTTGTCAGTTAAAAATAGGAGAGGAGAGTTATTAAATGGAGAGTTAGAGGTATTGGGAAGATGGAAGGAATATTTTGAGGAATTGTTAAATGTTGATG